AAATGTTTTGATAACGAATAGTCCAGTTATATAGATTATTTAAAAAAAAAAACATTAAATTAAATTAAATCGTATTCCCTTTAAAATTTGTATAAACTGTATTTATAGATGTTGTCATTGTATATTATGTTTGTTTCCATTGAATATTTGTCAATTTCCCTTCTGTGAATATTTCCATAATTCATTACGTTTTCCAGTGTGTGGTGTTCAAAACCAGAGAATTCATGCTAAAGTACGTTTCGTTCGTGCTCATGAGCTTAGGCTCTTTTGCAAGGTACAATATAAATTGGTATCAACTTCCTACAGTAAGTACTCGATTTAAATAACAATTTGCTTGTAAGCATTTTACAAAGTACAGATAAATCGTAAATAAACATAGGCGAAAAAATTTATGGACAAAATAAAACGCGACATGGAAATGGAACAGGGCGAGGCACTTCAGATTATGAAGAAACACGCTTACATGGCGAAAATCTACGGCTTCCGATTCGGATGTAAGCGACATCTTTGGAAAAACACTACACGTACGAATTGATGTAGTTGGAGTTTTCTAATTTCACTTACGTGTGTTACAGCGGTTTTTTATGTTTCATTAGTGATCGTTCTACTCTATTACTCGTCAATCTATATTTATGAGAGAATTGTGCCGACGAACGGGACTCGTCTGAAGAAATTTCCTATAAGTACGGATTACCTGGTACTTGAAGAGAAGTATCATTTACTCACGTTTCTGCATATGAACTTTTCGATGATAATTTTCGTAACTGTGTTCGCGGGAACGGAAACGTTAACGATCCTGTGGTTCAAACATGCTGTTAGTTTGAGCGAAGTTACCAGGTATAACCATTAGTGAATGATTCTTCGATACACCGTTTGTATATTTCAGGTGACAATGCACATTAATATTGTTTTATTAATATAATAATATATCAATGTTTTGTTGCTGATAAGTGTTTTAGGACACGTGTTGAATTATTTTTTAAAATTGATTCAACACGAGATCAACGAAATCAGTTTTCCAAAATTGATTTAATGTGAGAGTTTAAAGACATTGTAACGCTTTCTTAAGAGAAGCAGTTTTTAATGTCTACTAATAGAGAAACTGATTCAGTGAACAGTGAACTTACTGGCTTCTAGGTTGGCACTATTTGAAATATAAAATATAGAAATTATATTGTTCAGCAAAATTGTAATAACCAGTAAGAAAGATGATGATATTCAAATGTAATTTAGATTTTTATCTCATTTGTTTTTTTAATAATAAGCGATATATATGAATGCATATGCTAAGTACAAAATGTCATTCTGTGACAGCTCTAATTAATTTACCTTTTTGTCGAGCTGTTCTATGAAATTATGCACCAAAATATTTATACTTTTATTACGAAGAAGTTTGTACACAATGCTAGAATTTCCAGCTACTACGTGAAGAAAACTATTTTCATAAATTCGAAATACCAGTGCGATAACAGAACAAAAAGAGATATAGCAAAAGCCGTAATCGCCCATAGGAGAGGGCTGGAGTCAGTACTGCTTCGTACTCACTTATATCTTTCTTTATAAGATCGTTCTTTAATTCAGTCATCATTCGTTCTCGTAGATATATTAAGGAATTCCAGGACAACAACGCATTCGCATATGGTGTCCTCCTTTTGTTTGCTATCACTTCTCTAGCAATTAATTTATTTCGCGTA